GACACCGGTTTCACCTAGTTACTCCGTCGAATCACAATAGATATTTATGGGTCTGCCGATCGCTGGCCATATCAAGAGAGTACGACGTGATGGGGGTAAGGTCAGGAATGAACAAGACACGTTTCAAACAATAGACTATGTGCATATGCAGTTTGACATCGAACCGTTCGAAGGTGAAAAACTGCTTCATTTTAGCTGACTACAGTAAAAGAGAGAGAGTGCGTGTTTCTTCTTTTACGGCGGCTGGCTCCTTGGAAAGAATAAACCGACTCAAGACATGATCATGATCAAGATCATAGAGTTCCTTGGGAGCTTGGCACAAGCGACATCCCCAGAGTCATTAGGCGTTTTTTTATTTTGAGGGCCCACCTTTAGCCTGTGCACAGCCCGGTGCGAACTGGAAGGCAGTAGGAAGTAATCCTCGCCTCGGAGGTGAGGGAGTCATCGACTTTAGTTTTAAAAGGCCAGTCACATCGAGCTTTGTCAAGACACCGTGATTGGGCTTATGCGGCTTCTAAACAGGAGCCAGGTGACCAGCCTGAAACCCACCACACCCTGGTAGTACCGAAGCTGTTTGTTCGCAACTGCTTATTTGTTGCGATATGCCACAACTTATTCACAGCTAACCTTCTTCAGTGGAGGTATTCCCCTGGCGGACGCATCACAGATGAAGTGTCGGCACGCACACAAAAGGCTCGGTTGGCATTTGCCAACTTGAGACATCTGTGGCAACGTCGTGACATCCGGCTATCTGTGAAGGGTCGAGTATATGCTGCAGCAGTTCGCCCAGTGCTGTTCTACGATGCAGAGACTTGGTCACTACGGAAAGAGAATAAAAATAGCTTGTCGGTGTTCGAACACCGCTATATAGGTCGCATTGCACGAGTCTCATGCGGTAACCGGACTAGAAATGCTGAGGTTAGGCGTAGAGTTTTAGGCAGTCGCGATCGTCCACTGGAGTAAGTGGTCGAGGTCCATAGGTTACGTTGGTTGGGGCATGTGTTACGCATGTCACAAAATCGGCTGCCACGGCGAGCGATGTTTACCGAGGCAGGTAGCGGTTGGAAAAAGGTCAGGGGTGGTCAAACTAAGACCTGGCATGAGGGTGTGAAAACCCTAATCAGGAATCTGGGTCACATAGGTCTCGTTAGGCTTCCTGGTTGGGGACCTCGGGATGATGGTCACCGATGGTTAGCTACATTGAGTGATATGGCTGGGTGTGGCAAACAGTGGCGCTCGTGCAACAACTCATTATTCCCCTAACACCATTCTATATGAATTCTCCATCCTCCGCTTGAATTTGCTTTCAGCATTTCAATTTTAATTCTGGTATTTTATCCAAATGGGTCAACCAAACCCGGCGCACGAAAACGCATGGTTGATGTTTGTAAAAACGGAACTGAACTATCGTCGTTATTCAGCAAAAACCGATTAAAAATATGGACATTCAGGTAATCTATGGCGGAAGAATGAAAGACGCAAATAAGAATTTTGCGGGGCGGACTTCAAGCATAATTAAAAATGCTTCGCTCAAATTGCTTTCGTCATACAGTTTCGGACTATTTCATACAGCATCGTCGTAGTCGTTAAAGTTAGAGAGACTAATAAAAGAGGTCAGTAGAGGATAACCTGATCCACCTACTGAATAACATATTGTTGCTCAAGACTCTGAGGTTCGCAATTCATATGTGGCGTTCTGAGATAGTAATCTGGATCAGATCAGATGTCAATTCCCGTTGTCTATGTTGTGCTCCTCTAAAATTATTTTCACCCAAAAGGAAGGTTGTGAATCCTAAAGGTGACAAGGGGCGAGAGAGACCAAAACGCATTCAATGCATTTGGAATCACTGAGTTTGTCAATAAATGCGAAGGATGTTGTAATGCACCGTGCTGTATGTTCCACGAGCGTGTAAAGACCACAACGGTTAAAAAGTGTTTCCAAATAAAGGTATTTTCTACATAAGTTATAAGAGACCGAGGATAGAGACAGACATGTGGGAGATGCATGTGGCGAAGAGATGAAGCGATAAAATCACACACACACATAGAGGGATACCGGATTCACGAACATGGAACATATCTTTTCATCATGTGAGGTAGGCACACAAGACTCTTTTAGAGGGGTTAGAAAAGTATGGGATACTTCAAGAAAATAATCTACTACTACATGAGAAAGTCACGCCAGACGGGTGACTGGCGCAATCAGTGGATTGTACAGTTTTGATGAACTCAACATTAGGTTCCGGTATGACATTAGTGACCAGGTAGGGATTCGGTTTATTTCAGGACATCGACATAATAAAAGTGTGATATGTGTGATAAGCTGTGATTTTTAAAATTACTTTGGGTAAAATCGATTTCATGATAACTTCAAGACGGTTTACCTTCAAACAAAATGAAGTTAGTTAGGGTATATTCAGACAAGCACTATCAACTAATCTCACGAACGACGCATTTGTAATCGAAGAATGGCATTCCCTTGGGCTATGAAGTTCATCTTATTCCCGATAACACTGCTTGTGTTTTCGCACATTCTGTAAAGAGTTTTGTACGACCTCCCATGGAACAGCATACGTTCGCCACAAACGTGGCCGACATGATCGGTCGAGATGCACGGAAAGTTGAGATGATCCTGTTTGTGCTCAATACCATTTAGGATATAAATCCGAGGTAATTTCCGTAAATTGAAACCGAAACACATGTAGTCTGGACACGTCAAAAGCGGCCAGCTCGAATGCATGCAGCTTTTTTTAATTATTCTGCTCTAACATCCGTTC